GAGAGAGAGAGAGAGAGAGAGAGAGAGAGAGAGAGAGAGAGAGAGAGAGAGAGAGGCTTTGCGTATGCAGACGGGTTAGCGAGGTCGAGAGTCGGCGGGGGGGGCTGAGGCGTCACGCGAAGGGAGGCTTGGCAGAGTGGGTGTGGAAAAGCGTCTACAATGGAGAGGCAAAAGATAGCGACGGTTTTTAGGCACTATGTGCAACGTTTGCGGGAGTGGTGGAGCTTCGAGGCAGGGGTAGGGCACGTCAAGGAGTCTTATGGGGCTGTTTGGTTGGCTATGAGTCGCGTGGTGACGAAGATCCGTCCTTATCTGCAGCCCCTGATTGTCTTTGTAGCTCGTCTCTGCTGCTACCTCGGCTTCTTTTTGTTGCGATGCTTGCTTCGTGGCATGTCCTCCCTCGTGCGGATGGGTTCGTCAGCTGTCTTCGTTTTGTTATGGTGTTCGTTAATCAGCCTTGCGGCGCTTGCGGGATGGGGTAGCTTCACGATCGCACTGGTAAGATATCGTAAGACGCCACATCATTACTTGAAGTTGTTCTCGAAGTCAACATTTCTTTCCTTTGTTGAGTGCCAAGGACACTTGTTCGATTCCCTGTCCATTTGTTGTTCGCTCATCCCATTCATCTCATTTCATTTGACTGGTTGGTCATCTGCTATAATCTGTCTTTGTTGAGTGCCAAGGACACTTGTTCTTATCCCTGCCCTTTCGTCGTTCGTCTGCGATATCATTTCATTTCATTGACTGGTTGGTCATCTGCTGTAATCTGTCGGAACATATTTCTGAAGATTACTTCTGAAGATTACTGGGATCGAACACACGTCGGTCGTCCCGTGCTGTCTATCTTTTGTTTACCTCCGTGTTTCCGTGCATTCACTGTGCGAAGTGCGCATCTTCTCTGGAGCGTTAAGCTCCTGGGGATCGAACACACGTCAGTTGCTTTGCTTAGGAGGGATGGGTCACGCGGCGGTGGCATCGGGGTGTGATGGGTGTGGGGTTGCGCGCACTCTCGGTTGTGTGCAGGGGTATGATGGGTGTGTGTTTGGGTGAGGAGGGAGTGATTGTGTGCATGGATCACTGTGAGAAGGGAAACACTGTGAACGCTCCATCTTGCGTGCCCGCTGTGCCGTTTGCATCGCCGTTACTTTAGAAGAGGGTGATGTGGTGTGGGGCTCCTCGCTGAGGGTGATGAGCTTGCTACCAAGGTAGTCCGTTTGCATCGCCGTTACATGGTCGTTTGCGCCGCCATTACAGCGCCGTTTGTACCCTCGTCTCATGTCGGTCGTCCGTTTGCATTGCCGTTGCACTGACGTTTGCACCGCCGTTACAGCGCCGTTTGCATCCAACGCGGTTACAGCGCCGTTTGCATCGCCGTTACCGTGGCATTTGTGCCTCGCGCCTCGGTGACAGCGCTGTTTGCATCCAGCGCCGTTACATCACCCTTTGCATCGCCGTTACAGCAGCATTTGCGCCGCCGTTACAGCGCTGTTTGCATCCGGCGCCGTTACAGCGCCGTTACAGCGCCGTTGCAGCACCGTTTGCATCGCCGTTAGAGCGACATTTATGCCGCCGTTACATTGCCGTTATAGCGCTGGTTGAGAACTTGTTGTTTATCTCTGAGCGCAATTTCACGCAGAAACGGAGCGTTTTCGTGTTTTTGGTTCTTCGGGGGAAATGAATATGGCTCTTTATATGTTTCTGATTGCCGGAGGCATAGAGGTAGGTGCCTATCATCCATCAGCTGTTCCCCGCTTCGTGTTGTGAGGCATGGTCTTGTTGTTGTTGAATCATTCGCGGACGAAATCCCCTGCCAAGCGACTCAAGTGTCCTTGACCATATCTGTTTCTCTTGGGAGGTGATCACCCCCTGCCAAGGCGACTCAAGTGATGACCATATCGGTTTCCTTGGCTTTCTTATCTTCGTCTCTACTTTCCCTCGGTCTTTGTTCTCATTTTCTGTTTTGGCGCTTTTCCTACCGTGTTCTCGCGTTGGTTCTCTCGGTTGCTTTCTCGTCCCTTTCATCATCATGGCGCCTGCCGTCTACCATCTACCATCCACCGTGCGGGGATTAAGTTTTATCGCGTTTTGGCAGCGGGTGGCTGAGTTTACGGACGTTTGTCCCTGGCCTTACTGTCGCCGAGTCGAGCAGGATTCGAACCGCTGTTCTATTTGTGAGTCATTTACATGTGTACCATTCAGCCTAATGGATGGGTTTTACCGACGTATGTCGTTCGTCCGCAGAAAGAAAACTGGATATTGGTTGGTCTAATATGGCAGGGAAGTTGTTCTTAATGACTGCAAGATCCTTCATGTTCTAGGCAGCAGCAGGCAAATATCGTTCTGCGGTTTTTTTTTTTTCTCTCTCGCTGTGTCCCCCTTGAGCTCTCTCTCTCCCCCATGATCTCTCTCTCTCCCATGATCTCTCTCTCTCTCCCATGATCACTCTCTCTCTCCCATGATCTCGCTCTCTCCCATGATCTCTCTCTCTCTCTCTCGCCGATGATCGTTTCTGTTGGAGAAGGATAATGGATGTATTAGACTGGTGATTGATTGGTTTAATGATTGACAGGGAGCAGAATGCCAAGCGAGTGTTTGCCTGGAAAGTGAGAAGTCGTTTCGTATGCAAGGAGGGCTTATCGGGATGGATGGGCTTTTGGATTAGAGCTCCCGATTCCCTGACGCCGATGGAAGCTTTTCGGAGAGTCTGGCTGTGGACTGTAAGTGGTCGGCGGTGGTGGCAGCCGCCGCTACTATGATGGTGACGACGAGGTAAACGATCGTGATCACGCTAATGATGCAGCTAAGGATGTAATGCTGAGAGAGAGAGAGAGAGAGACGCACACTTGCAATATTGGACAACACGTGCCAGGCTTTACTTTCACAGAAAACGTCCTGTCCATGGCATGCGACGAAAAACGTCGCGATTACCCTTCTGCCTCTGTGTGTGAGAGAGAGAGAGAGAGAGAGAGAGAGAGAGAGAGAGAGAGAGAGAGAGAGAGAGAGAGAGAGAGCGGTGGTTCACACGGAGATGAGTGCGGGGAGGGAGGGGGAGAGAGAGAGAGAGAGAGAGAGAGAGAGAGAGAGAGAGAGAGAGAGATGGTGGTTGATGGTTGAACGATCAGTTTGTGGAGTTTTGTCGCGGTGGTTGGAAGTTTGTATTAGGAGACTGGCGATGGTGAATATTACCAAAGGGTTATGAGTTTGGTTTCGGCCTTCCGATTTCAGTGAAGGACTTACAATCAATTGATCGGTGCATTTACATCTAGACACATAGGTAGGGTGATAGATGAGTACTTAGATCAGTAGGTAAGAAGGATATGTACGATGTCGGTGAATACGTGGAAGCGATCGATATTCACTATTTGCATACTCCTTCGGGCATAACTTCGACGTTCCTGGCCGCAATTTCGACATTATCTGAACCGAAATCGTCAGGTCCTATTGGCGGTAAGCCCTGACGATTTCGGTTCGAGAAACAACGAAATTTTGGCCAGGAACGTCGAAGTTAAATGTCCAGAGGGGTATATAGCGTCAAACAGAAGTGCCCGTTAAACCGTAGGCAGAGAGGAAGAGAGGAGGGGAGAAGAACCGAGGGGCTGTGACAGACTTTCGTCCAAGTTTCACCGATCCATCAGGAGGCCGAAGCCATATGTATATTAATTCACCTGTAGCGGGTTACACCGTTACAAAATTTTTGAGCGCCTCTTATTGCTCTCTACGTCGATCATGGCGCCCATACATTATAAGGTGTGATGAAACCGTGTGGCATATGTTGCTGCGAAGTGCGTTGTTGCTTGTTGTCTTGTAGTATCGAGATGATGATAGCACATGTGAAGCAAGCTTTGCTTCGCATCTAGACTCTGAGAGAGGCACACACAGACACACACACACACACACAGGGAGAGAGAGAGAGAGAGAGAGAGAGAGAGAGAGAGAGAGAGAGAGTTGTTGCTTGTTGGCTTGTAGTATCGAGATGATGATAGCACATGTGAAGCAAGCTTTGCTTCGCACCTAGACTCTGAGAGAGGCACACAGAGAGAGAGAGAGAGAGAGAGAGAGAGAGAGAGAGAGAGAGAGAGAGAGAGAGAGAGAGAGAGAGAGAGAGAGGCTTGGGCTGAGAGATGATGATGGCACATGTGAAGCAAGCTTTGCAAGCTTTCCTTCGCACCTAGACTCTGAGAGAGGCACACACACAGAGAGAGAGAGAGAGAGAGAGAGAGAGAGAGAGAGAGAGAGAGATGAACAGCACTCTAGAACTAGAAGATGGTTTCGTCATCCATAGACTACCGTCTTCCACCGAGTACAACGTACCCTCACTATCGCCGCATTTTAGACTGACTGTTGCTGCAAATACAGCTTTAATGACCGCACGTTCTATTCGGGGGAGGACGAATGTGCAATGGAAGCAGGATGCAATTCCTGCAGCGTGTTGCCGGTGAGCAATTCGGTTTGTGCGCTTTCAAAAGGCAAGTGCTGCCATGCATTTCCTTTTTTTAAAGGACGTTCCCCCCCCCTCCCTTTTCCTTTTTTGTATACCTGTGTCAGAACGCCCCCGTGCATCGCGTGTTGCCATGCGTTGCTTCTGTGGTGTATAAAGCTTTTGGCTATCCTTCGGAAGAAAAGGGCTCTTCCTCATCCATCCATGAGGATACGAAGTGGTGTCTTTTCGCAGTCTTTCAGCTCGTTGGCTAACGAGTACTCGTTGTGCACTTGCCCCCATTGTCATCATCAATTTCGTCTTTTTCTCATCGATTCGCCATTTCTAATCAATCTGCCCATGATGAAGGCCTTTCCCAATGCACGATCGGCGTCCCCATATTCGTGAAGGGCTTCCTCTTCATTTGTGCCGCGCTTCTCATCCGTGTTCCTTTGTTGAGCGTTTGTCCATCCCATGTCCCGGCCGCGCAGTTGCGGCTCATCGAGATGGGTACGCTGCTGTCGATCTAGATCGGGATCGAGATGGGCACGCTGCCGTTGATCAAGATCATCGAGATGCGATTGTTGGCGTTGATCGAGATTATCGCGATGGGATTGTTGCCGTTGATCGAGATGGGCACGCTGCCGTTGATCAAGATCATCGAGATGAGATTGTTGCCCGTTGATCAAGATCATCGAGATGAGATTGTTGCCGTTGATCAAGATCATCGAGATGAGATTGTTGCCGTTGATCAAGATGATCGAGATGGGATTGTTGCCGTTGATCGAGATCGGTATGGATCGGTATGGAATCGATGCCGTTAGACGTGATCTCGTGTGGTAAAAGGGAGGGCAAGTCGCGGTCGCGATCGCAAGTCGACATGGCGGCGCTACGTCGGCATGTGCTACCGTTTTCTGTTTCGTCTGGTATTGCCGCCGGGGAAGAGGGGTCGGAGTAGGGGTCAAACTAAGGAGGCATATTTGGGAGGGGGAGGTAGTTTAGGTCGAAGTCGGAGTCAACTAAGCCCTGCTATGTGGCGCTCTATGGGTGGGAGGTAGTTTAGGGGAGAAGGCGTACGGTG